CGGCGGCGGCCCGGCCGGCATGAGCCTGGCCGCGGGGCTCGGCCAGCGCGGCGTCCACGTCCTGTGCGCCGACATCCACCTCGACAAGCCCTGGCCCAACAACTACGGCACCTGGGTCGACGAGCTGCAGCCGCTCGGCCTCGCCGACTGCGCGTCCCACGTGTGGAACCGCACCGCCGCCTACGTCAGGGACGATGGTCGCAAGTCTAACTTGGACAGGCCGTACGCTCGCGTCGATCGACACAAGATGAAGAGACGCTTCCTGGATAGGTGCCAGAGCTCCGGTAATGTTGTCGTTGTGAAGGCCGTGGCTAAGGAGGTCGATGTCGAGGGGGAGCGGAGCGCGAGTACCGTCAGGCTCGTCATGCATGGCGGCGAGGAGGTTTGCGTCGAGACTCGTGTCGTTGTGGATGCCACGGGGCATAGCTTGAACTTTGTCAAATTTAATCAGGGGAAGACCCCGGGCTTTCAGGCCGCCTATGGCGTCGAGTGTGTCGTGAGTGATAAGGGGTATCCGTTTGATAACGACGAGATGCTGCTCATGGATTTTAGAGATGACCACATGCAACAATCACCGGAGGACCGCCACACCGCGAATACCACCCCAACGTTTATCTATGTCATGCCGCTGGACGACGGCGCAGGCCGCCATGTCTTTTTCGAGGAGACCTCGCTAGTTGCGTCGCCGGCCATGGACTTTGACCATCTCAAGCAGCGCCTGTACAAGCGTCTGGCCCATTACAACATTCACGTCGACGAGGTGCTGGAGGAGGAGTTCTGCCTCATTCCGATGGGGGGCGAGATGCCGGTCCTGCGCCAGCGCGTGGTCGCCTTCGGCGGCGCAGCCGCCTTGGTGCACCCGGCCACGGGCTACATGATCGCACGCGCGCTCGAGCTTGCGGACAAGGCTGCGGAGATCATCGCCGCCGAGCTTCGTGCGAGCCACGCCGACGCCGACGAGACGGCCCACCGGATATGGGACCGCCTGTGGAACGTCGGCCGCCGAAGGCAGCGCGACTTCTTCAACTTTGGCGGCGAGTATCTGCAGCGGATAGACTTGCGCACGACGCGCGACTTTTTTGCGGCCTTTTTCGACCTGCCTAAGGACCAGTGGTCCGCCTTCCTCTCGTTCCGCCTCATGCAGCCGCTGGAGCGCCTCACCTTCGGCCTCGGCGTCTTCGCCCGCACCACCAACCGCGTCCGCACCTCCATCGTCTATGACGCCATCACAAAGGGCCGCTTCCCGCTCCTCATGTCCGTCCTCCCGGTCTATGATGTAGAAGATGAAACATAAAGCCTCACGCTGTGCCGCCGACGCCGGCCTGTTGTAACTTCAGTAACCACTGCTCCTGCACTTCGATACACTGGCTTCGCGCCTGACCCGGGTCCCGCAACCCGCGCACAAACTCAAGCTCGCCGCCCACCGTCTCCGCTGCGGCCCCCCTCGCCAACTCGATCAGCTGCCGGTGATACCACCACCCGGACGAGTCTGCCGCGTGCGTGCGCAGCCACTTGCGGCTCCGCCCGAGCTCTTCACGTATGCATTTCCCACGCGCGCTTGGCACTACGCGCAGCCTGTGCACGCCAGCGTAGTAGTTGCTCGCAGCGCGCGTCGCCGCGACCCACGCCAGCGCGAGCTCCTCCTCTGCCTGCTGCGGGGACAGCCCGCACGTGCGCACGACCCACGCGCGGTGCGACCAGCTCTCCGCGCTCTTCGGGCTGCGCGTCAGCACGAGCCACGTGAAGTGCAGCTCGTCCGCCGCGCCGCCCGGCGGCAGCTGCCGCTTGCGCACGGCCCAGGCAGTGGTGAAGTCCGGCGACGCCAGCAGCATGGCAGAGGCCGCGCCGAGGTCGCCAGGGTCGGTTTGCAGACGAGAACGGCCCTCGGCGTACAGTGCGTTCAGGGACCACTGCGCAAGGCCCAGGTGCTGGCCGTCCGCGCGGATGGCTGCTGCCACGGTGCGGTTCGCGGGGGAGGGCGGGATGTCCTGGAATACACCGACTTCGCGCAGGCTGCGCAGGGGTTCGCCGCAGAGCATGCCGGCGAGCGTGTCGACGAAGCCGTCTATCTGGTGGATTGCGGCATAGGTAGGCATGGGAATGTGCGGTTGCAGCAGGAGGCGAAGAGGAGAGGGCCTCGTGAACGCGGAGCGATACAGCTGCTGACGAAAAGGTCGTTAGATCGGTATTCAAGCTGCTGCAACTGAATTGCGGGCGCGGGGGAGAAGGTGATGGCAGGGCAGTGTGAAGTGAGGTGATCGATGCGACTTTCACAGAGCATTCATCTGCCAAGGCCTCTTTCGAATAGAATCTAGTAGTTCGGCGATATTGTCCCTCACACGGCCATCAAGCAACTACTGCCTGCCACAAGTTGGGTCTATAAACCGAATGCATTGCTCCCCGGCCTGACTAATGTCAAATGAGGATTTTTTAAGTGTGGCAGACGACGATACGGCACGGCAGAAAATGTTTGGTGACTGGCCCAAACAGAAATTGATAAATCTCCCGCCATTTGTTAGCAACGGACATGCTCATCAGAACACCACATGCATCCACCCCACACCACCGCCAAGCCTTTCGCCTTCCCCCTTCCCCCCCTCCCCCTTCCCCTTTCCCACTGCCCTCGCCGTCAAGCATAGCCCTGTCGCCTCTCTATGCCGCAAGAAAAGCGGCCCGCATTAGAGCTGTGCACTCCGTGCCCGACCAGCCCCTCTCGAAAGCGAGTGCAGCTAGCCTCCGACACGCCCCGGCCAGCGGACAGCACCCCGATCTCCAAGGCCCTCGCCTCCTCCGACGCCATCCGCACACCCTCCCCCCCTCCCCCGACCATCACGCCCAAGTCCTTCTACGGCACGCCGACCTTCGTCCCGCCCGCGCTTCACCCTGGGCGCGGCCGTCTCTCGGCGCTCCGGGCCAGCCGCAACGACCCAGCGCGCGTCTTCCGCGTGTTCCCCGCGCAGCAGCCCGCGCTGGACTTCTGCGACGCGCACCCGTCGCTCGCGCTGCGCGTGTGGGCGTTCGAGATCGACGGGCAGGGGCGGCGGCGGTACGTGGCGGCCTCCTACGCGTCGTTCTGGCGGGCGTACGCACGGTTCCTGCGGCGCGGCGGGCGGCTGCACTTCTACGAGGTGATCCGGTCGCGGCACGCCAGCAAGCTGTACTTCGACCTGGAGTTCCTGCGCGCGCACAACGCGGGCGCGGAGCCGGAGCGCATGGTGGACGCGCTCGTGCAGGCGTGCGCGGAGCTGAGCGGGCGCGAGGTGCAGCGCGAGGGCGAGGACGTGGTCGAGCTGGACTCGACGACGCAGCGCAAATTCTCGAGGCACCTCGTGTTCCAGAGGCTCGCGTTCCACGATAACGTGCAGGCGGGGGAGTTTGCGAGGCGCGTGGTGCAGCGGGTGGCGAAGAGGGAGGAGGGGCTGGTGATGGTGCGCGCGGCGGACGGGGCGAAGACGGCGTTTGTTGACTTGGGCGTGTACACGAAGAACAGGTGCTTCCGGCTGGTCGGCAGCTCCAAGTTTGGAAAGGAGCAGCGGCTGTTGCAGAGGGGGGCCGAGCAGAAGGGGAGGGTGGCGGTGTCGAAGCGGCTGTTCATGCGGGCGCTGGTGTGCTCCGTCAAGGCGGGGGTCGAGCTGATGGGGTGCGTTTCGCCGATGCGAGGCGTGGCGGGTGGCGGTGGGGGCGGTGGGGGCGGTGGCAGGGGAGGAGGGGGGGCAGAGTTTCGCAGGGTGGTGGGGGAAAAGTCGGCGTACCCTGCGGTGGACGAGTACGTGCGGGGGCTGGTGGGGGGTGCGGGAGGCGGGATCTACGGGGTAACGGTGGTGTCGGGTGCGGAGACGGTGATGTACGCGATCCGGGGGGGTTACAAGTACTGCGGGCGTGTGGGGCGGCACCACCGGTCGAACAACGTGATCTTGGTCGCGGACGTGCGGCGGGGGGAGATGTATCAGAAGTGCTTCGACCCTGACTGCCGCGGGTACCGGTCCGAGGCGTGGGCTATGCCAGTGGGGGGGGGGGGATACATTGACGCGGACTTGAGCGACGCGTGCTTGAATGAGGTCATGGAGGGGATGGAGCGAGGATTTGACGGGGGGGTGCCAGATGAAGAATTGAACCGCCTCATGGATCAACTGTCCGACCAGCGTGGACACGCCGTCCACGTGGCATGAGTCGACCAGCGTTGACACGCCGCCCACGTGGCAGACGAAATATGAGCCGAGACATATTGTATGTACAGTACTGTGCCGCACCGTACCCTTGGTACTGTATGTCTGTGCTGTTGCTGCTGGCGCCCCCACGCCTCCACACTTGCCTCTCATCTTCCCACACTTTCATCTCGGCCTTTCCCACGCATCCCACCCCCTTTCCTTCCCGCCGCCGCTCACACCCATTCCGCGCCGCGCCCTCCCTGCCCCCCCTCCCCCCCGATGTCGCGCTTCGCGTCGGCCGAGGCGCAGGAAGCCGAGAAGGCGGTGCGGGACGCGCAGCAGCGGCAAGAGGGCAACCTGTACTGCGCCGACTGCGCGCACCCGCGCCCGGAGTACATCAACCTCACCATCGGCACGTACATCTGCGACCTGTGCGCCCAGGTCCACCGCCAGATCTCCAAGCGCCGCATCAAGGACATCTACGCCGGCGACCTCACGCCCCAGGACGCGCACCGCATGGACGCCGTCGGCAATGACGTGGCCAACCGCAAGTTCCTGGCCACGTGGAACCCGCGCGAGGTGCCCGAGCCCGACCGCCGCGACAAGGACGCGCTGCACGAGTTCATCTGGCTCAAGTACGACGGCAGCTTCAAGAAGCAGCCCGCCGCGCCCGCCCCGCCCGCCCAATCGCACCGCTCCGCCCCCGCCCCGCGCCCGTCCGCCGCTCCGTACCGCCCGGACGACCCTTACTATGACCACCGCCCGGAGGAGAGGTCCGCCCCGTACGGCCGGGAGCGGGACTTGTTCAGAGACCACCCTCCCCCGTCGAAGCCGTCCCGCGGCTACTGGACGAGCAGGTACGAGGCCCCGCCGGGCCCCAGAAGACCCCCGCCACAGCCGTCGCCGCCACCGCCGAGGGATGACTATTATAGGCCGCCGTACCCAGATCGCTACCGTAGTGCCGCCCCGCAAGATCGCTTCCAGCCGCAACACCCGGCCCTCGTCCCGCCGCCGTTTGGACGCCCCGGGAGGAGTTTGAGGAGGTATCAGGAGCAGGGGGCTCCGTATGAGGACTATGGGTCGGGCGCGAGCGACGACAGGGACGACCCACGACGGAGAGGGAGCAGGGCTAGGAGAAGGGCCGTCAACCAAGAGTATGCCACGGACAGTGATGAAGAAGTCGCAGAATCATTTCGCAGGAGAAAAGGGGGGCGGAGCAAAGTTGAGAGGAATGGCTATTATAGCGATGAGGAGGATGGTTTTGCCGATGATGAACAACCCAAGAAGGAGAAGAGGAGAGATAAGAAGGGGAAGAAGGGGAAGAGTAAGAGAAAGGAGGACGAGGATGAGGACTACGAAGAGGAGGCGCAGATCGACGTGCGTAAGTCGAAGCGCTCCAATTCGAAGAAATCAGAGAAGCGCAGTGATCGCGATCGCGACTCGGTCCGCACCCCCTCCGTCGATGGGCTCGATGAGATGACGGCGCCTAGACCAGGACAGCCCGCGAAGACCGATTTCGACCTCATGTCAGAGTGGATGGGCGATTCCAAGGACACTGACGCGTCGAGGGGAAACGTGAGCTCCCCGTCTGCAGGTCCGATTCCGGCGGCCATGCAGCAAGCTTATGCTACCCAAGTGCCCGTCATGGCCCCACCGATGTCTATGTACGGCGGCATGATGCCGATGCCAGGCGGTGGCTACATGCCCATGATGGCTCCCGGGATGCCTTCCGGGTTTATGCCGAGAATGGGGATGCCGGGTATGGGCGGGATGCCAGGCGGGATGCCGGGCGGGATGCCGGGCGGGATGCCGGGCGGTATGCCGCCTGGCATGCAACCGGGCATGCCTCCCGGGATGCCTCCGGGTATGGCTGCGGGGATGCCTCCGGGTATGGCTGCGGGGATGCCTCCAGGTATGCCTCCTGGAATGATGGGGATGCCCGGTCCGTCGGCGGTACCGGGCGGCGGGATGGCAGGTCAACCCCCGCAAATGCACGGTTTGCTGAACGGGATGCAGAACTTAAACATGCAGCCAGTACCGCAGAACGCAAATCCCCAGCCCCCCCCGCCACCGCCCGTTGGTATGCCGGCAGGCCCACCGCCGGGGCCGCCGCCGGAAGCCCCGCAATAGCGCATGTCGTTGTATGTAGCAGTAAAGTATTTGGTGAGGGATGGTGAGTTTTGTTTTGCTACGCAACTGTCAGATCAGGTCGGCACCTCAAACAAGGTTTTATCGTAGAGTAAGTTGTTCGTATCACCGGTATCATTCGTACATAAAAAGGCGAATCGGATGGAGACCGAGGAAAATGTGCACCTCTTTTTTTCCCCATCTAGCAAACACCGAGGTTAAAACGTCCTAGAAAGTGTCCTGGTTCCCACCGAGATTCATGCCGCCAAACGGCGTCATCAAATCCTGCTGCGTGTTGCCACCCTGCATCCCCTGTTGCATGCCCATACCCGGTATGCCCATTCCCTGCTGCATTCCCATGCCCGGTTGTATCCCCATCCCTCCTTGCATCCCCATCGCCGGTTGCGCACCCATGGCTCCTGGCATGCCCATGCCACCTTGCATCCCCATGGCCGGGTTCATGGCCGGGTTCATGGCCGGGTTCATGGCCATTCCTGGTTGCATGCCCATCATGCCTGGCATGCCCATGCCCCCCATACCCCCCTGCGGCATCGCCCCTTGCGCCGTCATGACGCCGGGACCAAACGGAGTAGTGACAGCAGATCCGAGCTGCGGAAAGCGGCCGGCCAGCGAACCTAGCGGGGCCTGCTGTTCCGGGATCTCGCCCGGCATGTTCGCAAAATCGTTCGCGGTGGCCGTCGCCCCCGTCGTTATGTCGATTTCCGGGCCGCCCATGAGATCCGGGAAGGTGTTCTGAGACGTGCCAAACGCAGTGGCGCCAAGCGCTCCTGGGTCGACCGTGACGACAGCCCTTGACGTGATGTCCGCGACGTCGTCGGCGCTATCTTCCTGACCCGACTCTTCCGAATTATCCGTTTCCTCCTCGGAGGTGGTGTCGTCCTTTCGTTTGCTCTTCTTCTTCTTCTTCTTCTTCGCCTTTGCCTTCTTTGTCTCCTTCTTGCTCTTGGTTGCCTTGCTCGATTTTTTCTTTTTCTTACTCTTTTTCTTCCTCTCCCTCTCCTCCTCCTCACTGCTGCTCTCTTCCTCACTGCTCTCCTCCTCGCTACTCTCCTCCTCACTCTCAGTCTCACTCTCCTCCTCGCTTTCACTCTCCTCCTCACTCTCACTCTCCTCCTTCCTCTTCCGGCTCTTCCCCTTCTTCGTCTTCTTTTTCTTCTTCTCCTTCCTCTTCACCCTCC